AAGTTGTCCAAAATTTGAGCAAGAAGTGACTTCAATATAATAAAGTTTTTATTTGCTATTTGCAATAATAATGAGATATGGCAGTGGTGTATTTTTCCAATGTGATCTTATATAACAAAAGTTAGTTCTTTATTTCCTTTTATTAATTTAAAAAATTCTTTGCTAAAGTGATTAGTGGCATATCTTCCATTGAAGTACTAACCCTGACCCTGCTTCACTTCCGAGATCAGACGAGATCGGGCGCATTCAGGGTGGTATGGCCGTAGATGATTAGTGGCATATCTTAATAAAAATGTACTCATTAACAAAAAATCCCTTTGTCATGTATCGTTTTCTAGGGAATGGTTATATCTCTTGTCACATGAAATGTTGAATCCATACTATGGCCTCTTCCAGTATTCAAGAGATGATATCTATACATTGCAGATAAATCCTGATTCTGCAGTTAATCCGGTATGATTTGTAGTTATGATGTGAATTAAATTCTGACCTACAATGTTTTTCATCTTTAAATGTCAATGTAGTTTATTATGTAGGAATTATTTGTCCTTGTCCTGGTTACAGCCTTTGACTCAGCAATTCCTCTTCTAGAAAATTTCCCAGGTAAATGATTATGGATATGTGTAACAATTTGGGCACAGGGATGTTTATTGTTTATAGTAGCCCCCAATTGGAAACAACACAGTTGTCCACAAGAGGGGAAGGAGGATTGATTAAATCATGACATAAAGCAGAATAACATGAGTGGTTAAGAACATAGATTCTGGAATTAGAAAGATGTGGACTCATATTCCTGGTCTCATTACTTACTAGCTTTGCGATCTTTGGCAAGTTCATTGACTTAGGCCTTAATTTTATCATTGTTAATAATAATAGATATGGTTTATAACTCAGAGAGGAGTTGTGAGAATGAAATGAGACCCTGTACATTAAGCATTTAGCACAGTGCTATCCATTATTAACTCTATTATACGTTATTAAGCATTCAACAAAAGTTAGTTATTGTTAACTTATTGTTTTTATATTCTGTTATCTTTCCATTCAAGGGCATGCTCCGTAGCCACTAAAATGATAATATGGGATAATAGTTAATGACATGTAAAGATGTTCATGATATGTTAAGTGACAAGAAGATTACCAAGTAGTGTGATAAAACTTTGGCAATATGTATATATGTCAACATTGAAAGGCTCTACACTATAATACTGACAGGTTATCTCAGGGTATTAGATCATGGGTGATTTTTACTGTTTTGCTTGTCTGTATTTTATCTAAATATTTAATAGTGAGCATATGTATTAAACTATTTTAAGGTAAAAGGAAGGTTTAAAGATGATAAAGATTACTTTGTAAATAGAGAAGTAAAAGTATTTAAAAATACAAATATCTAACAAAACAGTCTATAATGAAAGACCAAATATATTTAAATATGGTGGAAATGTTAGATTCATTGCAAGGAATTCTTCATTAAGGGAAGATTTTTAAGTGAAGGTTCTTTTGGGGGCACCCACCATTCCACTGTCATAACAACAGCTTACATTTGTTGAGTGCTTACCATACTCCAGGCCCAGTGCCATGGGTTTCATCACCTCATTTTACTCCTCAGAGACCCTTTTCGGATACTATTATTACCATCGTATTTCCAGGGGTTAATTTGCCCGTATGCATCAGTAGCTAGCAGAAAAATGACTCTAATCCAAGTCTGACACCAAATCTGTGCTCTTAAATCTATGTCGTTTTCATACTTAATTTCTGGTTAGGTCTAGGAAGTAGGGAGGTTTAGGGTTAAAAGATTTTTCCATGACAAAGGGCTCAGCAGGAGGTGAGAGGAGGAGGAAGAGAACAGAATGTGCAAGTGGTTTAATGAAGCTGCAGTGGGACTGTAGTTTGGGTTTAATTTCTAAAAGATAAATTTTACCAAGTGAGTACACCATTTGAGAGAGGCATTGACTGTGTGTAATATGTCTGTGGTCCCCAACCCCTGGGCCGCGGACTGGTACTGTGGCCTGTTAGGGACCCGGTGGCAGAATTGGGGTGGGGGGCCCACCATGAAACTTAGGAGGCAGGGGGGTGCACAGCAGGAGGGCAGGAGGTGAGCTGCAGGTGAGTGAGTGAAGCTTCATCTGTATTTATAGCCTTACAGTCGCTCCCCAGCTCCCCATCACTGGCTCCAATCATCACCTGTTAAGTTCTGTGTTCTGAACAAACCCCACCCCCCACCCTTGCCCGGTTCCGTGGAATAACTGTCTTCCCTGAAACTGGTCCCTGGTGCCAAAAAGGTGGAGACTGCTGTAATATGTAGTTTTATAATGATTCAGAGAATCTTGAGCAGGCCCTATAGAAATATTCCCTACTAATTATTGAGCTTTGATGTGATAAACCTATTCCATTTAAATAGTTGTAGAGTACAAATTTGATACTTATTAAAAAAATTAATGTTGCTTCAATATTTAAGTTTTATTAAAAATTCCCTGGATAGTTTCTAACTTGAGTATTTATATAAACTCTTTTCAATTTCAGGAACATTTATCATATTTCCACTTTGTTGGACGAATAATGGGAATGGCTGTGTTTCATGGACATTATATTGATGGTGGTTTCACGTTGCCTTTTTATAAACAGTTGCTTGGGAAGTCGATTACTTTGGATGATATGGAGTTAGTTGATCCAGACCTTCATAACAGTTTAGTGTGGATACTGTATGTATTGAGTCTTCTGTCTATTCATTATACTTAAACTCTGAGCTTAAAAAAAAGTTTCAAAACTGATGTGCTTTTATAAAATTTAAAAAATTTTGCACACAAAATATTGAGTGGTTATCTGAGCAATAGGACCACATAAGACTTTTTTCCTTCCTACGATTTCCCTATACATTTCAAATTCCTCAAGTTAGTGTTATTACTTTAAAAAGGAAAAAAATCTATATATTCTGTTTGTAAAAGTACTGGATATGATGATTTCTTCAACATGATGCAAGTTCTGTTCCAATCCTGCATGTATTAGAATAGCAAATTCCTGCTGCCATCACTTTTAATAAAGGGGTGATTTTGTGAACCATACTTTAAAACTAGGAACTAATTCTGTTTAAGGTAAGAACTAATTCTGTTTTGTAAGTGGTCATTAGTTTACAAAGATACAAAAGCATTATTTATTTTTACAAAATACACAAGTAGCTCTGTCTCACTGGGGATACTTAGGCATTTGGTCTCTTCGGGTTCCCAGATTCAGTAGGACTCTTATCTGAATGCCAGACATAAGTGAAATTTTCCTATGTTGATGGTTCTAGCAAAGTCCAGCTTTGACCAGGGCTCTTTCTCATTACTCACGAAGTGAAACGTTTCCTCTGTTTACTAAGGTTAAAGCTTTTTGACTTTTCTGAAAGAAGTAGGTGATGTGGTAGGATAAGAACTCATAAGCATAATCTGACTTTGTTGTATATGAAACTATCTTAGTTTTATGTGTCTCACCAATTAATACACCTAGAGGATCTGTGTTTTAGGCTTCCCAGTTATATATCTTTCCCTCTTTTTCCTATCCAGTGAGAATGACATTACAGGTGTTTTGGACCATACCTTTTGTGTTGAACATAATGCATATGGTGAAATTATTCAGCATGAACTTAAACCAAATGGCAAAAGTATCCCTGTTACTGAAGAAAATAAAAAAGAATATGTCAGGTAAACAATTCTGTGTTCTCAAGGGTGAGAATTTTTTTTTAATGCTCTAAAATGGCAGTATGAAAAAACATTTAAGTATTTAGGTAGAATTACTACTACAAAACAGGCTTCCATAGAATTTAGTGGTGTATAAAAAACAACCCTCTTATTATTTCTCACAATTCCAGGGGTCATTAGTTTGGGCAAAGAACAATAGGGATGGCACACTTCTGTTCCATGAGATGTCAGCTAGGACTGAAACACACCAAGCTAGTGTCTTCACTGACATAGGTGATACCTCAGCTAGAATTAGCTCAAATGGCTGAGGGCTGGCTGGAACGGCTCTTGACGCTGGGGTCATTGTCTGGGGCCCACTTCTCACTGTTGGCTGGGTTCCTTGGTTTTCCCCATGTGGTATCAAAGGCCTCTCCCTCTTCCCACAGCCTCTCTCCCTCCCTCCCAGCAAAATAGCCAGACTTCTTATGGGGTGGCTGCCTTTCTAGATCACAAAAGCAGAAGCTGCCAGATCTTTTTAAGGCCTAAGCCTGATACTGGCCAACATGACTTGTGCTGTATATTTTGGCTAAACTGAATCAGCTCGTTCGGTGTAGAGGAGAGGCTGTACAAAGGTGTGAATACCAGGAGACATGGGGCACTGGGGCCATGTGTAGTGTAGCTATCACAAGTGGCAATTCAGAAATGTTTCTGTGCTGTATATTGTAAGCACTTAGTCTGTTTATAAATGAGCACATTGTGAGTTCAGGGATAAATATTAAAAAATGTTCTTCAGGTTTTCTAAAATAAAAATAAAGATTGAGGAGGCTGAATGTGGTGGCTCACACTTGTAATCCCAGCACTTTGGGAGGCCAAGGCAGGAGGATTGCTTGAGCCCAGGAGTTCAAGACCAGCCTGGGCAACATAGCTAAACCCTGTCTCTACAAAAAATAGAGAAAAATTAGCCAGGCATGGTCTCTGCTAGTCAGGAGGATTGCTTGAGCCCAGGAGTTCGAGATTACGGTAAGCTATGATCTGTCCACTCTGTTCCAGTCTGGGCAATGGGACAAGACCCTGTCTCCAAAAAGAATTTTGAAGCATTGGGTTAATTTGGCCTATGATAACTAAAGTCTTCTAAACATAAAACCGTGGTAATCAAATTTAGGAGTTGGAACTTCACTATATTTACACAGAAACATGTATGCTGTATTTTTTTATATTCAATTTTTTGATATTCTCAAAATCTATCGGCTAAAATTTTCCTAGTTTACAAATGAGTCTTGTACACTGTTGATGGAAGTGACACTGGTGTAGCTTTTTGGGAAAGCAGTTTGATACCAGCCACCAAAATAACCATGTACATGCCCTTTAACTAGCAGCTTCATGTTTAGGGCTCTTCTGCAGATATATACATGCAATTAAAGAAGTGTGATAAAGGATAGTGAAATATTACTTATTAAAAAAAACTAATAAAATGTTTTTAGAGAAGATTGATTAAATACATTCAAGAGGATATTATGTGAATATTTAAAAGAAAGACTGCATAAGAGGTCAAATTTAAAAAGCAAGTCTTAGGAGAATTATGTAGGAACAAAATCTGTGGTGTTTAATTATGTGGAAGATGTTCAGGATGGCTACACACCAAATACAGTGTTTGCCTAGGATGAGGGAGCAGAGGTGATGGGCCTGGAAATAGCAGAAAAAGGGTAAAAGAATGAACTTTTAGGTTTTACTTTGTCTTCACAGTTAATGTTTGATTTTTCTTTATATATGTAATAAGCATTCATTATATTTCTAATGAAAAAATAAAAGAACAGGTTGGAATTTCCTAAGTCTTAGTAGTGTGTCATTTCCAGGATCTAGTGTGTCCTACTCAATCCCTGGATTCTACTCTCCTGAGTTTAGTCATGCTTACAGCACAGTAATAATCCCTTGCCAACTGTAGGTATTATGATATAAAAAATTACAGAGAAAAACTTTCACAGTTTTGCTTTCCCATTAACCCAACATACAAAAATGAGGTTCTCCAAAGGATATAATGTTAACTTATTTCTTAAAGAAGAGAACTATTTCACCAAGTTTGGAAAAGGAAATGTAGATGACAAATTTGACAGATGAGTGAGTTCCATGATGTGTGAGATGAAGAGGTGTTCCTGGGTAGATAAATAAAAGCAGTTCACTTACAAATCCTACATTCACACAGTAGATGAGGTTTAGTGCACTTTTTGTTGGTAAAATTACGTCTTCCAGAATTTTTACAGCCTCCAGGGAACAAATGAGTATTTTATCAAAAAGTGCTTTCTCATTTTGGATATGAGGATTCTCTACCTCCACTTCCCTCATGGATCGCCCTCAAATATAAACAAAATACCTAACACAATCGGGTTTTATTTTCAAGTAAAACCAGAAATAGTCATTTTTGAGCGAATGGGCTCTTTACTCTGGTTATTGGCACGTATCTTATAAATTTAGAAAGAAATTTCATCAAGATTTTAACATCAGAACCATCTAAGCTCTAGAAGACTTCTAGTTCGCTAGGAGTTGCTCTGATTGGAAGAGTTGCTTTGTTAATGCTGCTTTTGCTAGTAGAAGGTTACCACTTTTTATCAACATTAAACTGCCTCACAGCTCAGGATTCTTTTATTCCCTTTAGTCTGAGATGATTTTTTAGACTTA